ACGCAGTCTCTATTTCAGAGGTTCTCCCACTTCCTTATCTTGGTTCACTTCCTCTTGCCCAAGATCCTATTTCTCCAACTGCTCCTATTGCTCCTGACCGCCCCCTTCAATTCTACCACCGTCGTCCTCGCCCTGTGTCTGTTGAGGCTCCTGTTGACTCACCCATGCCACCCGATCCTCCTCCTGCTGCGGTTCCACCACTTCAATTGCAATCTGACGTTGATCCCACTGAGGCACCCATTGCTATCCGGAAAGGTACACGTTCTACTCGTAACCCTCATCCTATATATACCTTTTTGAGTTGTCATCGTGTATCTTCTCCTTACTTTGCCTTCCTTTCTCACCTTTCTTCTGTGTCTATACCTAAATCCACTCATGAGGCCCTCTCGGATCCGGATTGGCGCCAAGCCATGTTCACAGAGATGGATGCCCTGGAGTCTAGTGGCACATGGGAGTTGATCCCCCTCCCTCCTGGTAAAACTGTTGTTGGTTGTAGGTGGATTTATACTGTGAAGGTGGGCCCTGATGGCAAGATTGATCGCCTTAAGGCACGACTGGTGGCAAAAGGCTACACTCAAATTTTTGGTTTGGATTACACTGATACTTTTTCTCCTGTAGCTAAAATTGCATCAGTTCGATTACTTTTATCTTTGGCAGCAATCAATCATTGGGATTTACACCAATTGGATATCAAGAATGCTTTTCTACATGGCGATCTTCAGGAGGAGGTTTATATGGAGCAACCACCTGGGTTTGTTGCTCAGGGGGAGCCTGGTCTGGTATGTAAACTTCGTCGTTCCTTATATGGTTTGAAGCAATCTCCACGGGCTTGGTTTGGAAGATTTAGCTCTGTGGTATGTGAGTTTGGTATGACTAGAAGTGAATTTGATCATTCTGTTTTCTATCGTCATTCTAATGGGAAATGCATATACCTTGTAGTATATGTGGATGACATTGTTATTACAGGGAGTGATCAAGAGGGCATATCTCAGTTGAAAGAGTATCTCTTCAGTCGATTTCAGACTAAGGATTTGGGTAAGCTGAAAAATACTTTCTTGGAATTGAAGTGGCCCAGTCTAGTAGTGGTATTGTCATTTCTCAAAGAAAGTATGCATTGGATATTTTAGAAGAAACTGGCATGTTGGATTGTAGACCGGTGGATAATCCAATGGATCCGAATGTTAAACTCTTACCAGGACAGGGGGAGCCATTACTTGACCGAGAACGATATAGGAGACTAATTGGAAAATTGAATTATCTCACAATCACACGACCAGATATCTCTTTTGCAGTTAGTGTGTTGAGTCAGTTTCTTGAGAATCCTTGTGATACTCATTGGGATGCTGTTGTTCGGGTTCTAAGGTATATCAAGAGAGCACCAGGATAAGGTTTACTATATGAAGATAGAGGACATGCTCAGTTTGTTGGGTATTCTGATGCAGATTGGGCTGGTTGTCCGTTTGACCGGCGCTCTACTTTGGGTTATTGTGTACTCATTGGTGGTAATCTCATATCTTGGAAAAGTAAGAAGCAAGATGTTGTTGCCAGGTCCAGTGCTGAAGCTGAATACCGAGCCATGGCCCTTGCCACGTGTGAGCTTATGTGGCTGAAGCACTTACTACAAGAGTTGCAATGTGGTAAGGTTGCTCAAATGACATTGATATGTGACAACCAAGCAGCTCTACATATCGCCTCAAATCCAGTTTATCATGAGAGAACCAAACACATTGAGGTTGATTGTCACTTCATTAGAGAGAAGATTGTGTCAGGGTGTATCAAAACAAGCTTTGTCAACTCTGCAGATCAATTGGCTGATATTTTGACCAAACCCCTTAGAGCTCCTAGGGTTGAGTATATTTGTAACAAGCTTGGAGCATATGATTTATACTCTCCAGCTTGAGGGGGAGTATTGAAACCCTAGGTCCTTTTAGAAATAGGCCCATTAGGTTAATAGCATATTCCTATTTAAATAGTAGATGTTTGTACAGTTCTTGGGAGTTGAATACAATGAATCTTTCTACTATTCAACAGATTGGAAACGAACCATTAAAATATATATGCGTAGTATTGACAAAGATGGTCATATGACTGAAAACCCACCTGAGGATGACAACACTAAACAAACTTGGTTGCGTGATGATGCTAAGTTATTTCTTCAAATACGGAATTCAATTGAATCTGAGATATTTGGTTTTGTCAGTCAATGTGAAACTGTAAAAGAGCTTTTAGACTATCTTAATTTTTTTGTATTCGGGTAAGGACGACATTATTCGAATCTATGATGTTTGTAAGACTTTTTATCGGGCCGAAATGCTTGACAAACCTCTGCAGACTGACTTTATGGAGTTCAAAAAAACTTATGAGGTGCTTAATGAGTTAATGCCATTCACGTTGGATATAAAAGAGCACCAGAAACAGCGAGAACAAATGGCCATCATGAGTTTTTTGGCTGGCCTTCATCCTCGGCTAGAACCAGCCAAACCACAGATATTGTCTAGTGCAGAACTCAAATCGCTATCTGATGTATTCTCCAGAGTCTTACGCGCAGAGACCTACTATCCTCCTCAGTCAAGTAGCGTCCTTGTAAGCCAGAAGTCAAAGGGGGAGCCTGTGAAGTCATCATATCACAGTAGGGATTCTCATGGACAGCAGTCTAATACAATCATTTGTCACTATTGTCAAAGACCGGGGCACATGAAGAAGGATTGCCGAAAGCTTCAGACTAGAAATTAGGGAAATCGGTATGCTAATGTGGTGTCCTCCGAAGCTAATAGTGAGAAAAGTGAGACAACGGTTGTACTCTCTGCAGATGATTATGCTAAGTTCCTAAGGTACCAAGAATCCTCATCATCTGCCTCAGTTGTAGCTGCTGCCACCTCAGGTAATCCCAACACTTGCCTCGTCTCTTCCGCTTCCAAATGGGTTATCGATTTGGGTGCCACGGATCATATGACAGGTAACTCTAGTCTCCTCTCTACCTTTCAATCCTCTTCTTCCTCTCCCCAGGTCACTCTAGCGGATGGATCCACCTCTAGGGTGCTTGGGATAGGCACTGCTCATCCAACTCCTAAACTCCCGTTATCCTCTGTCTTGAGCCTTCCCAACTTGTCTTTTAATTTGATTTCTGTTAGTCAAATCATTAATGCTCTTAATTGTTCTATAACCTTCTTTCCTACTCATTGCCTGTTCCAGGATCTTACGACGAAGCAGATTATTGGTAAAGGACATGAGTCTGGTGGCCTCTATATTCTTGATTCTAACACTCCAAGAACTGTTGCCTGCTTTGGGATGGGTACACCTTTTGAAGTTCATTGTCGTTTAGGACACCCTTCTTTACCGTTGTTGAAAAAGATGTGTCCACAATTTAGTAAAGTGTCTTCTTTAAATTGTGAGTCTTGTCAGTTTGCTAAACATCATCGAGTTAGTTTGAGTCCTAGAGTCAATAAACGAGCAAATGCTCTATTTGAGTTAGTCCATTCAGATGTTTGGGGTCCATGTCGTGTTATGTCTAAATCTGGATTTCAATATTTTGTTACTTTTGTTGATGACTACTCTCGCATGACCTGGTTATATTTCATGAGAAGTCGTTCTGAATTGTTTTCTCATTTCCGTGTTTTTTGTGCTGAGATACAAACACAATTTAATATACCTGTTCGTGTATTAAGAAGTGACAATGCTAAAGAGTATTTTTCTGAAACCTTTTCTTCTTATATGCTTGAACATGGTATTTTACATCAATCATCATGTGTTGACACCCCACCTCAGAATGGGGTTGCTGAAAGGAAAAATAGGCACTTACTAGAAACTGCTCGGGCCTCTCCTGTTCCAAATGCAGGTTCCTAAACACTTTTTGGCGGATGCAATTTCTACTGCATGTTTTTTGATCAACCGTATGCCATCTTCAGTCTTGCATGGTGCAACACCCTATCAGTGTCTTTGTCCTCGAAAATTTGTGTTTCCTATTCCACCGAAAACTTTTAGATGTACTTGCTTTGTGAGAAATGTTAGGCCTCATATCACAAAGTTAGATCCAAAGTCTCTAAAGTGCATTTTTTGGGATATTCTCTTGTCCAAAAAGGGTATAGGTGTTATTGTCCGTCAACGGGAAGATATCTAGTGTCTATTGATGTAACATTTCATGAAAATGTTCCCTTCTCATCTTCTTCAGAATCCGAAAGCCATGTGGAGGATGATGATGTTCTCATCTATACAGTTACCACTACTTCCGCATCTATTCCACCTTTCCGACCACCAATCACTCAGGTATATTCTCGTAAACAACGGTCTATTTCAGATATCGTTGACCCCAACCCAGACAATATGCATGATTCATGTCCTGAGCCGGTCTCTTCGTCGTCTGATCAAGTTGACTTGCCCATAGCCCTTCGTAAAGGTAAAAGGTCATGTACTTGTCATGTTTCATCGTTTGTTTCTTATACTCACTTACCCCCTATTTCATGCTCTTTTATTGCCTCTCTTGATTCTATACAAACTCCTAAAACTGTCAAACAAGCTCTGTCTCATTCTGGTTGGCGTAATGCTATGATTGAGGAAATGAATGCCTTGGATTTCAATGGTACATGGGACTTGGTGGATTTACCTACAGGTAAAAAGGCCATTGGGTGCAAATGGGTGTTTGTGGTGAAGGTTAATCCTGATGGGTCAGTGGCTCGACTGAAGGCACGTCTTGTTGCAAAAGGGTATGCTCAAACCTATGGTATTGATTATTCTGACACTTTTTCCCCTGTTGCAAAATTGACTTCTGTTAGATTGCTCATCTCTATGGCTGCTACGCATGATTGGCCTCTACACCAACTGGACATTAAGAATGTCTTTCTACATGGTGATCACCACGAAGAAGTTTACTGGAGCAACCACCTGGGTTTATTGCTCAGGGGGAGTATGGTAAAGTTTGCTGCCTTCGCAAATCTCTATATGGCCTAAGACAAAGCCCTCGTGCATGGTTTGGGAAATTCAGTCAAGCAATTGAAAGGTTTGGCATGGTGAAAGGGAAGTCTGATCACTCTGCTTTTTATAAGCATTCTAAAACAGGTATTATCTTATTAGTTGTCTATGTGGATGACATTGTCATCATCGGTAGTGACACGGCTGGTATTGCATCTCTTAAGACCTTTTTTCATGGTCAATTTCAGACTAAAGATCTTGGTACATTAAAGTATTTTCTAGGTTTCGTGGTAATATGGAGTAAGAAAGGTATATTTCTCTCCCAAAGAAAATATGTACTTGATCTATTGACAGAGACGGGAAAACTGGGAGCTAAGCCGTGCAATACTCCAATGATCCCAAATTCACAGTTGACACCAGAGGGGGAGCCATTTGATGATCCAGAAAGATATAGGAGATTGGTTGGTAAGCTAAACTATCTGATTGTAACCCGACCTGATATCACTTACTCGGTTAGTGTTGTAAGTCAGTTTATGGCATCACCAACTGTTGATCATTGGAGAGCTGTTGAACAAATCTTGAACTACTTGAAAGGGGCTCCAGGGCGTGGAATTGTGTATCAAAACCATGGACATATGAAGATTGAGTGTTTTGCAGATGCAGACTATGCAGGGTCTAAGGAGAATCGGAGATCTATAACCGGATTTTGTGTCTTCTTCGGTGGGAACTTGATCTCGTGGAAAAGCATGAAGCAGAGTGTTGTCTCACGGTCAAGTGCAGAGTCAGAGTATAGAGCAATGGCACAAGCAACCTGTGAAATCTTGTGGATACCTCAGCACCTGGAGATTCCTCAAGCTTCAATCTGTTTGTTGATATTAATCGTGAACCTGTACGCTTGGCCTGAAGAAGGCTTCTAGCAGAGAAGACCCATTTTGGCGTCTGTATAATTAAAACGGTATCAGGATTTGGAGCCCTGTAAAAAAGATAACAGAAATTAAACTCAGGAACAGGTGATATATATTTTGCCTGTAGTGTACAACATGTAATGCACTGTCAATGACAACATGAAACCCTTTCAAAAAACAGTTTTCATCACATTAACTTTGGCTACAAATAAACCTATCAAAAAATCTGAATTCCTCGCCCCTGCTTCTCCCATTCTATGTTTCATACTCTAATCAAGCTAGAGTTAGTAGGCAAGTACCTGTGGTATGCACAATATGAAACCATTCTTGTTACTTGTTTCCCATTTTTCTCCAAGCAATGCAACTGTAGTTTGAAAACCAATGTGAGCAATAATTGAGCAAGTGTGATTTTTACAAATGATGGAGATCCACTATTCAAGCAGGAAAAGAGATGCTGAACACAAATAAACATTTTAATCAAATTATCACCTTCTTAGCATTAGAATCAAAAATATCGTTGGGGATGTCATTATACCCCTGAAGATATTCACAACTATGTAATCAGACTCATTACTAATTGTCTAAAATACAAGTAAAGACAAAGAAAAAAGAAAATCAGGAAGGCATACCTCTGGCTTCTTATCTTCAGGGTCAGCTATGGGTCAACTGGTCAACTAAATCAAAATAAGTTTATAAACTTTGCTTTGCTAACAAGACATTGTGGGCATTAGTGTACAAGATTGTTGGCTAGTTGAGACATTCCCTGCAATTTACCTCCTATACCAATCTCCTGGATGGGCGGTGTTGCATCGAGAGGATTCAAACTTAGAAAATGCCCAACAAGGCCAAGAATCCTTTATTGAACTCGGTAGTTGTTCAAAACATCAACAACAGGGGAATAGAAAACAAAATTTCTGTGGTTAGCATACACAAATTTAAGCCTGAACTCTAAACCGTTGAGAGTTGTGCGATAAATCTGCATTTAGATAGGAACGTAGAGTAGCTCAATATTCTAACATCTGGAACAAGAAAATTGCAGTGCTTATTATCTGCTCCTCCAGACAAATTAAAAGTCATAAGCAAATGTCAAACTCGAATTCTAGAATGTACTAAAATATCATTGCATCAAATGTCACAACATACCTCCTGTACATCTCTCTTGCACTGCGAAGTCCATCCTTCTGTAGAACATAATTTACAATGGCTGAAGAGAGCGAAATCCACCATCACTTCCACCATCTTTAGCCAATAAAGCCATCGCAGTATCTATCAGTTTGTCAAAAATCTGTTAATAACTTGAAAACCCCTTGAGCGCCTACATATTTACCAGAAAAAAAGGGTTACTTGAGGGCTCACGTAATTCCATTAAAAATTATAAATCATTTAATAAATTCACAAGCCACAAAGCTCTTTTCATTAGCAGTGCTATGGGAAGCAAAATTAAAAGCAAGAGAACTGAAAGGCTTTTGCATACCATAAGCCACAAGTTTTCTGCTTTTGATATAGAAACCTTCATTAGAAAATTCCTTAGGAGTTCAAACAATGATAACAGAGCAGCCTTGTTTGAAGAGAACCCATTTTCAGTGCACATCATTTCTATGGAGAGTCGTAATGTCCACAAATGCACTGCTTTATAAAATTTTCCTGTACAAAACTTTTCTACTAGTGTCTTGGCTTGAACTACAATTGGTATCGCAAGCATAAAGACATCAAAGACATTGTCATCTAGTAAAAGAATGGTGACAGAAATGTTTACCCATTGGCTCCGAAATTAAAATATCTGCTTTCTCTGGTAACTCAACATCTTCAACATTTCCCTTTATTACGTAAATATGGTAGAAGAGGATAACTATAAGGTCAGAGTGTAGTTATCATATAGAAACTTTACACAATGAAAGTGCTCTTCTTCAGGCAGTTACTACATACAGTGAAAGATATTGTAGCTAACACAACAAAATGCATTTTATTATTACATCCTTTCTTTTCGGAATGATACTACAACTATTCCAAGGTTAATCAAACAAGAGAAAGCCTTACTGTAATTCTTTCAGCATATAATAGATTGCCAGCAATCAACTTTCGGGCGTATTCTACCATTTTATATGCTTCTACAGCATAAACATGTTTTGCACCAGCCTATAAGAAAACGGAAGGATGAAAAGAAAAAAACCAAAAAGAGATAAATATCAACATGAATGACTAATGTTGCATCAAGAGAAAATAGCTATAAAAATCTGAACAATTCTCAATAACTGCAGCATAATAGGTCCTACCTCCAAAGAAAATAGCTAACCAATTACAATATGCAGCTATGAAGCTATAAAAGTGCATTGCATTCTAACAGAAAATAAAATAACCCAACATACAAAGTTATGTTTTTCAGATCATCGTACCTGCTAAGTCTATTAATACAACCAATTTTTTGTCTAGCTTTTACAGATTGCAGTTTGCTCATTAGCAATCTAGATCAAACACAAAAAACAAGAGAACATAAGAACAAATTAATGAAAATATATGACAGATCAAAATAATTGGTACATTAAAGAGGAACTTTAACATAGTATTGTATTTAATCCTTACTCGACACAAGTGTGCCTGCAAAAATCATCTGTCTTCATCAAATCAGATGTATCAAAAACAGGGGGATGATGTTCCTGAAGTGATTCAACTATTGCATGCACAAGGTTAAAAAGAAGAAAAAATCACATGTAAGGATGGATGTTGTTTCTTCTTCTTAGCAAGTACACATTCTTCTTAGCAAAAAAAATACATGTCGGCTGTCGCCAAGCCGTTGTTCGTTGGAGACTGGAGTAGTGCCCTCGTCACTCGCAGGCTTCGTCGGACTCGTCGCTCGCATCCTTTGTCGTCGAAGATTCGCAAGGGAGACCATGGTGCCTTGGCATCGTCTCCCCACATGATGCAATGTGGCAATTTCTGCCATGTACAAATCTGATCTAGCTTCAGATGGTTTGCAGACAACTGGAGTCTTGGGCAACACTGATCAGTTAATCTCCCTTGTACAAAATTGTCAAAAATTATGGTATTTACCAGAACTGAAAAATATTAAACTTAAGGGATTAAGAATTTACCCTTAGGCCAAAATGTTAACAAATTGTAACTTGGAATCATTACCTCGTCATTAGCACTGAGCAGTTCTTTTCTAATCATTCTCAATCTCACAGCAGCATAAAATGGCAATGCATTTCTGCCACAAGTTACCTCCTCTAAAAATCAAAGGTTAATATGTAATTGGCAATTATCTAAGAAATAAAAGATCAGAAGGAAGAAGGTTAACAAAAATAATAAGAGTATTAGAATTGCAGAGTGAATAATGAATTTTTCGCAGTGCTGGTGTTATTATTTTGGATTGTACATCTTTGTGTGAGTCACTGTCACTAATACACCTATCAATCTCAAGTTTCGGAATAAGAGCAACCACTTACAAAAGCAACAGAATCGGAACTTCTCAAAAGAAAATAAGCATTCCAAGTTTTCAGCAGAACAATGCCTTGATCTTGAACAAAATAGTCCCCCCACCGCACACACACTATACAAAAGATGACATGACCGTAAAACCAGAACACTGAAATATGTTGTGAGCACTTCACGAGAATAATTCGTCTAAGATAGGGTTTAAGATTTAGGAATTTAGGTATTAGGGTTTAAAATTTAGAGAGTAATAGAAGAACTAACCTGTAGCAGGCGAAGCGCGACGGTGAAGACTTCCTGTTGTGGACAATAGATTTACGTTGTGGAGATGGAGGAATGGCAGGCGGAGGTGGAGGAACGGCAGCGGAGTAGAGGTGAGTTGCGAAAGGCTGAGGCGAAAACAAAAGCTCCTTTAATAAATTTGTTGAAGTGTTAAAAGTTATATTGACCGTCAAAGTATAAGCTACATAAAACTATGCGAAAGAAAAAAAAAATTAAAAAATGTAAATGGGTCGAAATTTTCCGACCACATTTTAACTGGTGGTCGGAATTTCCGATCCTTTTCCGTCCCACTTAATTCTTTGACGAAAAAACTAAAAAAAATCACTTTTTCCGACCATGTTTGTGAGTGGTCGGAAAAGTGGTCAGAAAATTGAAAATTTCCAGCAGTGTGAGTCAGTTTGTACCAACCTTTGGTATTTAAACACGTTGCCCAACTGGGTTAACTGTTTTTGACTGCTAGGCTGATCCATTCTACAAAGTGTGTGAACTGGATTAATCTTTCATATCTCTCGTGATGATGATGAAGAAAGATTTAGCTCAAAATCTATTATTCTCACTTGATAAATTTGATGATTGAAAAGTTCGTATGCAGGTACACTTATCGGCTTTACACGATGAAATGTGGGAAGTTATTTCCACTGGCCCTATAGAAATATTAAAAATCAATACGGCGTTTGTTATATCCCCGGATGCTCTACAGTACGTACAAAAGCCAAAACCGGAATGGACATCGGACGATAGAACGCGGAATAATCTTGACAATATTGCCAAGGATATTCTATTCAAAGCCGTTGATGATACAATATTTCCGAAGATCTGAAAGTGTGCCACTGCCAAAGAAATATGGGAAACTCTCATCAAGATTGGCGAAGGAGATGAACAAGAAAAAGACAATAAGCTCACAATCGCCATGAAGAAGTTTGAAGATTTCAAAATGCTCTCAAATGAAAGTGTTGCAGACATGGAAGCTCGAATGATCATAGTTCTTGGAGAGATTAGTGATCTTGGCAAAAATATTAGCCAAAAAGAAATTAATCTCAAAATTCTACGAGGCTTACCATCTGCATGGGATATGAAGGTTACGGCTATGCGCGATCACCGAGATCTAAGAATGTTGTCTACAGACAAACTATTTAGTGATCTAAAAGCATATGAGTTCGAAATGAAGGCCAAAGATGATGATGTTCATGAAGCTCGAAATTCTGCTCTAATGGCCGAACAACCGTCAACCTCCAAGTCAGTAGAAAATAATGTTGATTTTATGACTGACGAACAGTTTGCTCTTTTTGTGAAAAGATTTAAAAGGTTTATGCGAAAAGGAGACAACAAAAATTCTGCTCGTGGAAAATTCATCTCTCGCATAACACAAGAAGAAAAAGTCGAAGAAAATAAGGATTTATGCTACAATTGCCGCAAACCCGGACATTTTAAAATAAATTGTCCGTATCCGATCGTTAGCAAGTATCAAGGCAAAAATGTTGAATCTACGCCGAACAAATCCGAAAGCAAAAGGTTCAAGCGCGACAAAAGAAAAGCTCTCGTTAGCAACGAACCAAACGAAAATGATGATTCAGAGGATTCATCATCAAGCGATGAAAGTTCATATTCAGATGATGATACGGCGCTAATATGCAAGTTAATTGAGTTGAGTACAAGTGAAGATTGTCTTATGGCTCTTGACGCAGAGGAAGAAGATGTAACATCTAATTCTTTCAATTCTGTTAATTCTTCTTTTTCTCGTGAATCTATTGACAATCTAATGCGAGAATGTCAAGAGATTATGCTCATTCATCCTCAACTCAAGGAGCGCAATAATATTCTAATTCTTGAAAAAGAAGAAATGAATAAAAAATTGCAAGATGCTTTACTTGAAGTGAGTAAATTGAAGAATGAAAATATTCATCTTCAAGAAGAGTGTAAAGCAAGAGAGGTTAGAGAACATAATCTTAGAGCTACTATTGCTACGTTCACTAATTCGTCTAAAATTATAGATAAAACGGTGAGCATGCAAAAGCCATCAGGAGATAGAACCGGAATCGGTTATGACTCCACATGTTCTCAAACCCCTCAAAATCTGACTAATTCTACTACTACTTTAAATAATAAAGTTCAAGTAGTAAAATTTGTTAAAAGTCAGAATAGCACAATGAGACAAGGACTTGACTATCAATCAAACGCAAAGTTGAATGTTGAAAGGCCGAAACAAGTTTATACTATGGCAAAGCAACAAAAATTCTACAAGCAAAGATATGCCAAAGAGTCAAGTGCAAAAAGTTTTCATAGAAAAGAGGGAAGCTTTTCTAGAAATAAAGTTGGGAAATTTCATCCCACTCAAAAAGATTGGTTGTGCAATAGATGTAATGTTTTTTATAGACCAAAGCAACCATTCTCTTCCCAGGTGCCAAAATATAAAAATAATTTTCAAAACCCGGCGCCAAAAATATTTTCTAATGTGAGTTATGATTATCGTGTCTCTAATGGTTACAAATCGCCTCATCTTAATTCAATAAGACCAAGGTGGGTTTGGTTACCAAAAATTACTAACTGTAAAGGACCCAAGCAAGTATGGGTACCTAAAGTTAATTAATCTTTTTTGCAGGATGTTTGGTACATCGATAGTGGTTGCTCACGCCACATGACTAGAAATAAATCATATCTAGTGAATTTCAAAGAAATCGATGGACCAAAAGTTATATTCGGAGGAAATCAAAATTATGGAATTACAAAAGGAGTTGGCACGATCAAGAAAAATGGTTTGAAGATTGAAGATGTTTCTTTCGTTGAAGGATTAAAATTTAATTTGTTGAGCACTAGTCAATTTTGTGATAAAGGCTATCTTGTAGAATTTTCTAAAGATAATTGCCTAATAAAAAATGAGCTCACAAATGAGATTATTTTATCTGGAAAACAGCGAAAGAATATGTATATTGTTGATTGGAGCACAAGCAAAGATTCAGTGTGCTTAATGGCCAGAAATTCAAATGAAGCTAATTGGGAATGGCACAGAAAGCTCAACCACTTAAACTTCAAGACCATCAATCAGCTTGCAAAGAAGAATCTAGTAGAAGGCTTGCTAGATATTATCTTCAAGAAGGACCAAGTGTGTGATGCATGTCAACGCGGAAAGCAAATCAAATCATCATTCAAATCAAAGACACACGAGTCAACATCAAGACCGCTAAGCTTACTACATATGGACTTATTTGGACCGGTTGATCCAATAAGTGTAAGTGGTAAGAAATATACTCTCGTTGTTGTTGATGATTTTTCCAGGTACACTTGGACCGTGTTTATCATGAAGAAAAATGAAGTTGAGCAAGTTCTACCGAAGCTGTTGAAGCAACTACAAAATGAGAAAGAATTGCAAATATCAAAAATACGAACGGATCACGGAACCGAGTTCGTGAATGGAGTTATACAAGCTTTTTGCAATTCACATGGAATTTCTCACCAATTATCTGCCACAAGAACACCGCAACAAAACGGTGTTGCCGAAATAAGAAACCGGACGCTCAAAGAAGCCGCACGAGTGATGATTAGTGCTGCCGGTCTCCCGAAACGATATTGGGCGGAAGCTATCAACACTGCTTGTTACACGCAAAATCGAAGCATGATCCATAAGCAGTACAAGAAGACGCCATATGAGCTATATAAAGGGAGAAAACCAAATATTGGTTATTTTCATATTTTTGGATGCAAATGTTTTATTCATATTAATGATAAATTGCATCTAAAAGCTTTTGATGAGCGTGCAGATGAAGGAATTTTTCTAGGATATTCAGCTACCAGCAAGGCATTCAGAATTTTGAATAAAAGATCAATGGTGGTTGAAGAATCCATACACGTGGTATTTGATGAAAAATCACAGATAAAAAATGATGCACTGGACGAAGAAATTGCTCAAAATGGTAACAAGTGTCATATTGATTTTTGTGATACTAATGATACGTGTGAAGATGATGTTTTGCAGGGAATGGATGAGTTGGAAATTAATTCTCTAGAAAATCCCATCCCTCATCTAGAAGAAGTTGGAAATTCTTTTAATAATAATTTTGGGAGTGATGCCTCACGTGGGAATGAGGATGCAGTACGGGTTCCAATGTGTGATCAAGTTACTGGTGAAGTTGGTGGTCAATTACAAAACGAATTAAATGTGGAAATTCGAACCAACTCTCCCAGTACACAACAAATGGATCCACCCAGTACCATGCACCCATTTGAACCAGATTTAAGATGGCTCAAAAATCACCCTCCAGAATTAATTATTGGGAATATTCATGAAGGCGTGAAAACAAGATCATCTACCATGGAAGCATTGTTCACGTGTTATCTATCTCAGATTGAACCAAAAGAAATTGACGAAGCTCTCAATGATTCGGATTGGATAAACGCTATGCAAGAAGAGCTCGATCAATTCAAAAGAAATGATGTTTGGGAACTTGTTCCAAGACCGGCGAACCACAATGTTGTAGGAACCAAATGGGTCTTCCGGAACAAAGCAAACGAAGAAGGCGTGATTGTTAGGAATAAAGCAAGGCTCGTTGCAAAAGGATACTCTCAAGAAGAAGGAATAGATTTTGATGAAACTTTTGCACCGGTGGCCCGACTTGAAGCAATCAGAATTTTCCTAGCCTACACCGCACACAAAGATTTCACCGTTTATCAAATGGACGTGAAAAGCGCATTCTTGAATGGACTACTCGAAGAAGAAGTTTATGTCGAACAACCCCCAGGTTTTGAGGTAAAAGGCGAAGGTGATAAAGTCTACAAACTTAAAAAGACATTGTATGGGTTGAAATAAGCACCTAGAGCTTGGTATGATACTTTGTCAATGTTCTTAATAAGCTGTGGATTCACCAAAGGCCTTGTTGACAAAACTCTATTTAGAATTCAAGATGGTGATCATATTTTATTAGTGCAAATATATGTTGATGATATTATTTTTGGAAGCACTAACAATTCTTTGTGTGAGAAATTTTCGAAGCTTATGCAGAATAAATTCGAAATGAGCATGATGGGTGAATTGAATTACTTCTTGGGCTTACAAGTCAAACAACTGAAAGAAGGAGTATTCATCAATCAAGCAAAGTAC